AGTTGTAGTTTAGCTGCATTAAAAGTCCTTTCGATTGATCTTCGTAGTTTCAATCTTACCATTTCTCTAGGTGCGTCACCTCTGAATTGTAGACGTATATACAGAGGCTTTTTATTCACAGTTAAACATTCTTTATGGTCTCTTTTACTAGTTATGTTTTTGTTTATAAATTTCTCCGGGTATCCATTTTTCCTCAGGGTCATATATAATGCTTTTGTTTCTTCTTCGACCGTATCTTCAGAGCATATGGTCTTAATTCTATAGTGTAATGTCTTAATTAGGTTCCTTTTGTACTGTAGAGGAACAAAACTAAGAAAGTTAGTATACTGACCCGTCCACGGTGTTTTCCTGTTTATATTTCTCTTTAGTGAACCGTCTTTTCTCCTTGTAAGGAGAACTAAACTAAAATATGGTCCAGTTAAACAGTTTATTTTAAAATTCACATTCTACTGTCGATATATGGATGTCACGTTCATTCTCTGCAATTACGGTACACTACAACTAGAAGTTCTTAGGCAATTCACCCTCAATCACTAAGTGTTCACTTAAATAAGTACGTGAGAGTAGAGTAGCCCTTTTGGACGTTCTATTGACGAAAACAACTGATGGGTCAGTAACAAAACTTAAACGGAGAAAGAATCTGGACTTGACAGTATAAATATTACTTTAGCTTTGCTTCTACACAGTACAAAACAAACCCGACAAACACTCTTAGTTGTCTAATACGCACCATGTTTCACTGATACAAGTGAAGAAGTACTAAACGTCTTTCGTAATACTCTTCTCTTACGGAAAATAGACATAGACACAAAATAGAAGTCTATAAACAAATATATGACCACAAAATCAAGACTACGTGAAGTACAAACAGCGGAAAAGAAATCACTGTTCATGCACCTACAATTCAGAAGTAATACAGTCAGTGGGATACTACTCCAGAGATTAGGTAGAACAATCCAACAAACACTCAATGCCGGAAAACTAAGATTACCGTTTCCCTCGCGCCCAATCATGACGCCAAGGCTAAAAGGTGAATTGCCTAGAATGTCCACCTCGTTTTCTATTTACTAGTTTGACTGCTCCTGTGGAGCATGTTTTATGGATCGAAGTTCTAGGAATTCACAGTTTCATCGTCGAGATCACCTTCTAGCTCGGCTAAGTAAAAGTGTACCCTAGACAATTCGTTCAAGCAAATCTCTGTCATCAAAACCCTACGTGATCTGTTCTAAACTTTAGAGATAAATTATTCTAATTTTTTTATTTGTCCAATCACCCATATATTTACCCTTTCCAATCAATCACGTATAACCCTGAGTATCTTTTATACATATGTGCATGCTAGTGTGTACGCGTCTCTCTCCTTCATGTTTATGAAAAACTGAGTCACATAGGACTCACTTAGTTGGCACTTTTCTCCTTCTTTGTTTTGTATCTCTCATCATCTATCTGGAATAAAGAATGTCTGAAATAAATTCTTCCAACTTAATTCGTATTCAGATTTTGACTACCCCCATTGTCTAAACGGAATTAGCATAAGTGGAATATAGGAAATCAAACGGAGGATTTGTGCTCGAGGCTGATTTATTGTTCGTTCATAATGGAATCAATTCATGGGCCTATAACCTCAATACAATAGCCCATTTAGTGTAAACTGGTCATAGCACCAGCATAAATCAGTCATTCTCAATATTATATTTTTTTTGCCAAAGTGGGCCTGGCTCAAAGTCCTCCAAACGGCAGAAGCAACAGCCGTTCGCATTGTAAAAGAAACCGAAACTATAGATGCAGAATATATATGTTTAACCCATTCTATTACCTCGGTTAACCTTAAGACAAAAAATCAATAATAATCTTAGTTGTTGAATGACCTAATTTGAATAATCATACGTACAATCTTTGTTAGTCAAATAATACTACTACTTGTCATAAAGAAAAGCGACAAATACAAAGGCCAACCACAAGGTCAATTAATGAACAATCATCTTAGCTATTGTATGACCTAATTTGACTATGTACTTACGACCTTTCGTAGTCAAATGTAATTGTCTCTCTTTTAATCAGAAGGGGATTTGTGGAGATTTCAGTATATTTCATAATTGAAATCGTAAGTCAATTGAAGCTAGACCACCATGGAAAACCTGGAAGCACTGGACGGTCGTTTCCTCCTATTATGGGACTCCTCAGCAGTGCGCACCCACGATCCCGCACTCGCGAGATTCGAACCCAGGACCTACCAGTTACGAGCCAGAGCCCTTAACCGATAGACCACTGAGCCGGCATCCAACGGTGTTAATGTCTAACTTCAATTGATCCACGAATTATGAGCGACACTTCACCAATTGCTTTCAGTGAGTTGTTATCTCACAACAGACGTGGTTGAACTCCACTGGTCACTGCTTCCCACTAGAACTCCAGGACATGTCTCTCTTATCTTTATTCACAAATCTTTGTATTATTATTATTATTATTATTATTATTATTATTATTATTATTATTATTATTATTATTGGTTAAATATCATTATTAATCCCCCCTAAACATGATTCATTCACATCGCATTGATCCCTCCTTATTACATCTCACTAATTTTTCACACAATTTAGTCTTCCACCTGATCGAATTGTAATTGCACTATCATATCTCTCTCTCACCCTATCTGACCCATATTTATTCTGATCACAGATCTTAAATTTTCACTTAACGTTTATACAGATTCAAGTTAACATTCTATATGAGTCATATCAACATTAACAATTTCATTCTATTTGATTTGACATTCCTAAATTTACATGCATTAAACGATGTACTTTGCCGTTAACCTGACCATTTTTTCGGATTATTAATTTGGATATATAATTGTAGAACCTGAAGAGAGAATTTATCGAAAAGAATATTCTTCGTTCAAATATTAGTCTTTTAATATGATTGGGATTTTTAAACGAATAATCTGAATAATGATCAAAAAAACTTGTATAAGGTAGTAATAATAATAATAAATGATTAGAGTTTAGAATGTGAAACAGTGATTTAAAAAACAAAAAAACCGATAATAATCAAATAAAAGTGCAGAAAAGAAAAAACGACAACCAGAAACATACCCATTAAGGGAATTAGGACCAAGGAAGGGTGAAAGGTTGGACAAATCGTTTCTGCACGCAAAGTTCAGGCTTGAGTTCATGGATTGCCAATGCCTCAGCAGGGCATAAAATATTGAATCGACCCCCCCCCTTTGATCCGGTTCCTTTGACTCTAGCAAACTTGTTAATTTTATTCATATATCTTAGTATTGTTATTATTGGTTGAACATCACTACTACTCTCCCGAACAAATGATTATTTTAGTTAACACTCGTCCCACTTTATTATTTTATATTGAATTATCTACTTTTGGATTCATATAACTTCATCGACAAAACATATGATTGAATTTGTATTTCTACACTCTGTCTTGCCCATTTCAACAATTTTATCCCATTTTACAAACAATTTTACACTCACATACTATAATTTTAAGCGATGTATTTGCCTTAAATCTAGTCACATTTAGGATTAATAAACTTCAAAAAAAATTTATTGTAGAACCTTTAAATAATTTATTGACAAAAGTATTTTTAATTATCAGAAGGGGTTTTGTGGAAACAGTATTTTTCATAGTTGAAAGCGTAACAAAACCCCTTCTGATAATTAATATAATCATATGCTCACTAGTGACTTCGAGAAGTATATCTAGGAGCTCTAGTGAGAAGCAGTGACCAGTGGAGTTCAAAATCACGTCTGTTGTGAGATAGGAACAATTGGTGAATGGTTGCCCAACTTCGTGGATCAGTTGAAGTTAGACATTAACACCGTTGGATGCCAGCTCAGTGGTCTGTCGGTTAAGGGCTTCGGCTCGAAACTGGTAGGTCCTGGGTTCGAGTCTCGCGAGAGCGGGTTCGTGGGTGCGCACTGCTGAGGAGTCCTATAATACGCTTTCAAATATGAAAAGTATTTTTCATTCGTTTATTAGTGTTTTAATATGTTCAGGATTTTCGGCGTTAAAAATACAGACTGATTGGGTCAAGAGTTTCATATTCACCGCAAAATGTAAATGTTCCGTGTCCGATAGCGTTTTAAGTAGTTGACAGACAATGCTGAAAAGTAGTAGACTGGATAAGAAACAGCTGTTCTTTGCTTTCAAGATTTTAAAATCCTACCCTAGGTTCTTAATATTTGATTGGGCAGGCGAGAACAAACAGATAACATGTTGCTACAACATCAGATAGACCATACGCTGCTGGAAGGACACATAGCAGGTCAGACGTTCCATCTTGGGTAAGCCTATAGTGAGTGAGTGCATTTTTCCTCTAGCTATAGTCACTACCCTCATATTTTGTTTAGATCGGCTCAGTAACATGTACACATACGCATGACGTATTTACATGTCCGTTTAATATTTGAAATAGAGTTTTATTCGCGCGTTTAGTCTTTTTACGTTGCATATCTGGCTGGCTAAGCTTTTGGAAGTATATGATGCGAGGGAACCGGACACAATACCATAACAGGATTATGTATGTCTTATACTGTTTTTGAACTTATCAAATTGTAAATTCTTAGAAAAATAGTTGAATAGTATTGAAATTACAGAACTTACTGAAATTTAATAATAATATTCAAGTCCTTATAGGTGATAATCCTCATTCAATGTTTTCCGACAAAAATAAGTTTATGCTACAACGTTTACTGATTTAAGCAAGGTTAGATAATATAGTCTTTATAATGTTAAAATATGATTCATTATTTGTTTGATAAGTGCGTTCTGAATAACTACATTTAACAAGCATTTGCTTAATTGAAACTGCAAGTTCGTTTTTACCCATTAAATGTGGTTTCATGGTTTCTTCTTTGCTATTTCAAAATAGCTCAAGCTTTAAAGATCTTTCAGAAAATGAATTTATTTATTCTACTAAAAACTTAAATTTGTATGTAACTAAATAGTTCAATATCATCTTCTTATTTGAAAAGAAATAGAAGTCCAGAATATGCAACGCGCATTACCATTCAACTGACTGATATTCTAGAAACCGCACAAAAAGTTAGTTACTTTCTTATGATCTATTTGTTAATCATTTTCAAAATTTAAACAATTTTGAGTGAGTTCTACAGATAAACGAATTATAAATATAAGTATATAAACATTGTAGCCACATTGACTCTTCTTGATGACGACTATGAAACATAGCTCCTTAATCAAGTCCCTACACATACCTTGACTGGATCTCTTTATTGAAAACTGAAAAAAATTCGAACATGAATGTACGTGAGAGGTATAAATTTCATGCACACATATTAATAGACAGACCATAATTGATGGATGAAGAGCAAAAAGAGACTACCAACCAACTTATTAAAATAAGTTTTTGTTTTAGCTTATGTAGTTCACATTGACATAAATGAAAGGTAAAGATTAATTGTATATGAATAATATGACCAACAATGTTACGGTTACATATGCAAGTTAACACAACGCTATGTGTCGATCTGTCAGACCAGCTCACGATGAGACTGTAAATTTGACCAAGTGTTTATTATTGTTTATGTGTAGATGATGAGGCCTTTATGTCTCGCATATATGCACTACATAAAAGGTACAAAAAAACCCCGCAAGAATAGAATACGTCAGACGTCGGGAAATACACTGTGTTGAGATGTTAGTGTAATAGCAAACGTGAAAGTTTAGGATGAATGTGACCCTAATTAATATCATTTGTATATAAGGCATGATATACGAGAATAATCTGAGTAAAATAAAAATTTCGTACAGTGTATATGCATCATCCTTGTATGAAGAAGTAATAAACATATGGGATATACATGTGAGTATAGAAAATGAAATATTAGTTTTAGTAAAATGAAATTGTACAAAATACTAAATACTATTAGGCGCCTATAATATAACAGCTAAATGAATCTCAAATGTCAACATCGAAAAGCTTGAATATACAGAAAAAAACATGGTTAAGGGTAAGAGTACAGAAGATACAAGTTAAGTAGAAGAAAAATCTATTTTCATTTAATTCCTCACCAAAGCTCTACACTAAAGTATACGTTTTACATACATAGTGTATAGTACATAGTGTATACATAGTGTGGTGTGTGCTACTGATGTCGATAAATATAAGTAGTATATATCATTAATCAAAAGTGAAATACCTGGCGGCAGAAAGTTAAGATCGATAAGAAGAGAACGGCAACAGAAAGTGATTGATGTGAAAAGAAGAATCAGTCAAGTCTAAGACAGCTGACTGACAATTTGCAAATGAAGAATTTACTGTATGGTTCTCAGATTTTACTATGAGATTCTGTAATGAAGTGTTGAAATGCACTTTGTTTGTCCCCTTCACGTTCTTGTTCAATACAATAGAATCAATACCGAATAAGTGACAATGAGTCAATTTTAAACAATATAAAAGCCAGTTAGTAGAACAAAGTCTGCGAAATTAAAGTTGAAACTAAACTGAAATTTCATCACAAGACGTAAGAGCAAAACCTATATATTAGTGTAGAGACTTGATGAGGAACTAATCGAAAAGATATGTTTCTTCGCTCAACTTGAATTTTTAATATCTTAATGAGAATATTACATAAATACAGAATAATTGAGACTAAGTGTTTGACAAGTGATTAAAGAGTCTTCCATACAAACGGAACAAAACTTTTGGATGCAAGATAGGAATATTTAATTCATTAAACGTTAACTGTATTGGTGAATTATGCTCATAATTGTTCTATAATTGTTATAGTTAGGAAATGGAGAGTCGGTATATACTTTAATCGGCAAAATAAACTGCAGTAACAGTAACTAACGGTTTGTATAAGTCTGTTCGGTCTATAAGATGCACTTGATTTGTTGACTGCACTGAACTCATTAATTAAATAATTTACAATAAATTTGGGACAGATATAGGTTGCATCTACTACTCCGGATTATATTCTTTTGTCATTGCTCCCTAATTTAAAAAGAAAGAGCTCACCACTTTATAACTTGTATTCTGGCTCCAGTTGATGAAAATATATTACACCTCATATGTTGGGTTCGTCTACAATACTTCGAAAATGGTTCTTAAAAGCCAAATAGAAAATGTGTCTAGGAGATTATTTTTCATGCATTCATGTATTGGCAGAGAACCATCCAAGCGTATGGGAATGGTTTACGCTAAATTAGTTGATTTTATAGCCGCTTCGATGCGTTATTTATTCGTTACAGAGATCTTTTTAAAAACGAACGCATCTAGTCAATATAGATTCTAATTTTATCAAGCAAAACTATATTCATATTAACATCAAATTTTCATAACAACATAACATCATATATTCTGTAGAAAAACTATCATTTTACGAAGTATTTCTTCATATTTGTTTTGACACCGCTTCGAGATGTATGGAGCGGAACGTTTGAGTATATTGACAAATTAACAAGTAATTTAAATATAATATATATATATATATATATATATATATATATATATATATCGAAACCATTGCTCATTAAAAGTTGGGCCGCCGAGTCAATAATATAAAGTATTTAGGCGTTTGGTGCATAAATAACCCTTTCAATATTTTTTTTAAAAACGAACGCGTACTAATTAATTCAGTTGACTACTCCCACTACTTAACTTAACGCCGATAGCCACAAAGTGGATTATTGACAGAAGTATAATTAGGTTAAAAAACTTGAACATCTGTCACTCATCGATAAGGAATAACTAAGGTTGCTATATGAAATGAGATTCCTAGGTCAGAGTTTCAGATGATATGATTGAAAATCGATCACAATACATACTGATATTAGTGAAATTATTACCCATATGCTGCATTTCAAATTGTCAATACGACAATTATTCTCGTATGATTTATTTCAATTTGGTTTTAGCTATTAAACAAGATAGATGAATTATGGACAGTGAAAAAGTGTGGATTAATTAATCAAATTGGTTTGAATATATGCCAGTATAACAGAACTGATGAGAATGATCAAAAAGATAATGATGAAACTATTAAAGATGACAAAAATTTCAAACAAAATGAATCGATAAATAGTAAAATATTTAAACGTGGAACTTTTATTTCAACTTTAAGATTAAATTGTAATTCACAAAATGTTATACAACCAAAATTTTATAAACAACTTTTAAAAATTTTAAAATCTGAAATAAATTTATCTGATTTAAAATTACTACTTAAATCAGCATCAGATGAATTTCATGAATTATATATATTTATGAAAGAAAATTTAAATGATCAACAATCATCAGGAATATTTAATTGGTTGAATTTAACCGACAGTATTAATGATTTAGAAGATGTTCTTTGTGTAAGTTTCATAAATTTGTCAAATACTGTTCCTAAAAGGAAAACAATTCAATGTGACAATTTATGTTAATTAATTGGAGAAATTACTACTTTTAAGTACTTTATAATCTTTGAATGTATAACTATTACATGGTTCTGTTTCATGAGTCATGTAAAGTATGTGCTTAATACGGTTTGTAATCTTCCTTGATGAATGTGGATTCATTCATGTAAATCGTGTGTGAATAATTATTGATAAAATATGCTCCCGCGAAATAGATTTAGGATTTTTCTGGATAACAGATAAGGTATTTCGGGTACTTTCAGCTTGTAATCAAAACTAAATGAAACTAACTAGTTTGTTGCATTATAACTTAAATAATTTTTTTTAGTTTTAGATTTTAATAATCTGGTTGAATGCTTTATGAAGAAAAGTTCAATGTGGGAATACTTTTCGTCACAAATTAATATTCCATTAGGAACTATAGGAAAAATATACAAAGTATTAAACAGTTGTTTCATGATATTATTAAACGTCTCTCTCAGTACTTTTCCATGATCTCACATCAAGATCAAATAACTATCCTTTGCTATTTGGCTTTCAAAAGCACTTCAAGGCGTTGTCAAAACTACCTCCGAATTATACGGAATCTCGGCAAAAGTAACCAAATTAAACATAATTATTCATCAACTGAATATAAGTTCATAATAAGTTTTCTTCGATAAACAGTCGAAGTTATTAGTCAATTATTCATCAACGAGAACAATAAGAACTCTATGGATTCAATGCTTTTGTGAATGCTTTATCTGTTAATAACTAAATGGAGTACAAATAATGTGATATTTCATTAGATATCTATTTTAAAAATCCTTATACGCTAACCTAGTGAAAATACCTTAATCTTTACATATTTTAACAATGATTATTAGTTGTAAGTAGTTCTACCCATTTGTTCACGTTCTACGTGAATTCGTTTCATTTATGTCACCTTATTTAGAACCTGTCATTACTACGATGAAAGTCTATCCATTTGACAAGTGTCAAATAAAATAAAGCACATATCTCAGATCCTACTTTGAGTCACTGTTCAAAATACTACTTGATCGTAAGTTCATAGACAAATTCAAAGTAAGAAATTCTCCAGTAGACATAAAATTGACCGACATTATAATTATACACATGTTAAACTCCAGACTATTGAGCCTAGTGTTTTGAAATCATTAAAATGTAATATATGCTGAATCACAACATAAAGTTGATATCGTTCTTCACTTAACGAATACTCTTATTTAATTTACTTTACATTGTGTGTTATGAATATGTTTCTGCTAAGTTTCACAAGTTCATTAAAGTTTTGTCTGTTTTCCTGATCTGAAGAGATTATCAGGTATACTGACAATTCAAGAACGTAATTTAATCAAACTAATCGATTTAAATGACTTAGGCGTATCAACTTTTGTTCATATGGTTGAAAAACTTAAAGATAGTTTAGACAATGAACAAGAGGAAAAAGGACCATTTTTTGACTTGAACAAACTACGAAAGACATTAACAAAATGGAAAGATTTAATGAAACTAGATGACTGTGATTCTCTTCAATCGAATTCTGTTATGGATAAACTATCTCTGGAAGGAGAAGAAAACAGCGATAGAAATGATAAGTAAGTATAATGATTGTTATCTTTGAATTCACTTTAACAATTTAGTTAATGAGTCAAACGGTAACACTATCCCATTTAATAACTGCATGTAAGAAAGTTGGAAATCACAAGATAGTTACCAGTTAATAATATTTTCGAAATTCATAAGATGAAGAGATATGTTTAACTGAGGAGTTCATGTGCTTGATTCATCTATAGAACTTGACTCAATAAGAGCGCTCAACGAAAACTTCAAGTCTAGGGAGTTTGGTTAACTACAATTAGTCTCCTTGTATTTTATGTAGTAAGGGAAGTATTATATCATTTCGTTCTATGTCTTTGAACTAATAGTGACTGGTAATAACCAGTGGTCAGAGACTTCGGGTGACATGACTCAAAACCGTTTGCAATATGTCACGTGTATTCACAATTTGTCTTTCTACAAATCCTAATTTTCTAAATTACCTTATAAATTGTTTTCTTATTCCACTCGTTCATATTTTCTTCATGAATATCATCCCAAATATTTTCAACCACCACTAATACTGTTACCACCGCTACTACTTTGGGATCTACCTTGATGATTTCATGTCACTCTCCTACTATGTCTATGGTGTGTGCTACTTATGTCGAGATAAGTAGTATATAACACTAGTCAGGAATAGAATGTCTGACAGCAAAAGGTTGAGAAGATCGAGGAGGGAAGAATGGTATGGAAATGCAGGAACAATGAAGTCTGAGACAATTAATGAGCATTTTGCAAATGAAGTATTGGAGTATGGTTTTTCTATTTTAGCAAGTAACTTTAATTTTGTGCTATATATAGTCGGTTGTCTTCAATTGTGTTCTCCCTTACTACAGGGCAAGAAAACTTGAACTGACGTAAACATGTGCTAGGTTCTATGTTACGTATAACGGAATGATCATAGCCTTCATCTCTCATCTACGAGTTATGTCAAATAGTTTGCACCATTAATGTCTTGCTCTTAACCACTAGTTTTTGTAACATTTTATCAGTAAAATTATTTTTAGATCGACAGGTCAAAACTAATAATTTCAATTATGAGCCGGCAGACAGTAAATACGTTTGTCAGTTGACTCCCATACAGCAAAAAGAAGATTATAGGTGTGTTTGTTCAGCCATTATGTGTATTCCAATAGAACTTCGGATTAAGTTCTTGAAGTTCAAGCTACCAATATCTTCTGTGGTGTACATGCACGCACACATACTGAAAAGTTTTAAACTAATAAAGTGTTCAAAAGAAAATATCTTTAGAAAAATTGATTTCGAGTCATCTCGATTAACATTTCTGTCTGAAATGCTTTCATATATTAAGCTAGTCAACTAGAAACTGTTTTATCATCTTTTATAATCATGTGTCTTGTTTTGCTCTTTGTGGCAATCGCTGACGATCTGTTTATTAATCCGAAAGGTGAGATACTGATTTTGTTCATCAGCATTACTCTTAAATAGCTAAATACATTTCATCAAAAGTTTTATTATTTTATTTTTGTGTTATGACTTGCTCTGTGTATTGTGAAATGTTTAGTGAAAATAGATTTAATAATGTAAATAAAGTAAGTCAATTAAATCGAAGTAGTGGACAGAACGTATCTAGCATAGATTTATACCAATTAGCTCACGTCAGAAAGGCGTGTTTGTGATCTTTATGATAATATATACTTATACTGTACAACGAAATTTCAGACACTTCTTGATGACTAATATCAATCAAAGCTGAATGGTAGGTTCAACCCTTCTGTACATTTGACTGAAACTATTTAACATAAAAAGTAGACCGCAGTGTCTAATGTCGCACCTTAGCAGGTGCATTACAACTTGATCATATTTATTCAGTTAACGCCAAGAATTAGACGTATATAAAATTAATAATAGAAATAATATATAGTTGTAAAGTCCCAATGAGTAGAAAATTAGATCTCTGACGTTTCGTGACTTAGCGTAAGGCATTTCATTTAAGAGGTGAAAATAAATAACAGATTAAACTAACATAAGTGCTTCAAAATCTAACCAAACCAAGAAATGTGAAAAGATCAGAGAAAGAATAAAAGGAAGGAAGACAATGACTACGAAAATTGATTCTGATGACTTAAAAGTAGCTTATGATATCACAGACAGAACTCTGAATAAACACGAAATCACTCTCATAGAAAAAAGGATTAAATTTGAATTAACACAGAAAACCCCTTAACATACTAGACATTACCCTATTTCTAGAATTTCAACTCGAAATATTACCACAAAAAGTTTCATCTCATACGTCAAAAAATATCTCACAATTCAATTAAACAAAAACGCCTCCCACCTAACATCTCAAGAGAGAAACTATGATCTCTAAGTTCATTACAAAAGGATAAAAGGACTGTAACTACTAAAGATAACAAAGGAAATGCAACAGCGGTCATGAATGAAAACTAATACAAAGCAAAGGCTTTGAACGTCTATCCATGGAATCATATTTAAAGATTTACTCAAAAAATCTGTCAGTGGTTAGGAATAAAGTCAAACCAATTTACTAATGTCTCATTGTGGTTTTCTCCATATTCCAAACCATCCACCACACCACGTTTTTATGGATAACCAAAGTTCGTAAATCTAGTATACCATTAAAACTGATAGAATACTTCAAAAACACTCCAACATATATTCTATTTAAATACCTAAGCAGTTTCACCGAAACATCTTCAAAATAACCTACACAAATATTTTTGAAGATTCTTATGATCTCAAACGAGAAATTTCGTATCTAACCATCAAAGAAAATGAGGCAATCGGAAGCTATGATATTACATCTTTATGCGCTAGTGTTTCTATTGATAAGTATCCCGATTATATTGATGTTTTACTAAAGAAGTATCTAACGGATCTCCATTAAGGATTAGCTTAATGATGAAGTCACCTAAAATCTGCCTGAATTAAGCCTTATTTACGTTCAAAGGGACTTTACATAAACAAGCTAATGGAGTAGACATTAATTGTTGCTAATTTATTAATTTCCCATACAGAATCCGACTGTATATTTCCACCGTCAGCGATCTGTGTCGATGATTCGGGGTTTAATGTAGTTGAACGCGAATGGCCTGACCTCCCACCTTATGTCGAAATCACACATCGCAGTTAATACCTAGCGTGGATTACCCTTCCGTCGTATATGAAAACTATGATTATTTCTATGACTGTATAACCAAAGCATAACGTTATGACAGAAATGTATTTGTAAGAATAGGTAAGAATAGGAGTCCATGGCATGAAATTGATTTTTGCACGTAGGCTGTCCTTGACACTGACGAGGATCGGTAAACTGTTCGATATTCAGTGACCTGACTGCCGGATGATTTATCTAGGGCACAGTGACATCTCACTGACCCTACAGCATATTTGTCAGCAGCATAAGACTATGCATTTGGCTCGGGTATGTGTTACGTCTGGCCGATTGTGAACGCTATATTCGCTTCCCTAAGCTAGTTCCGTACCCCCCCCCCCGAGCTAGAACTATACACCGACTTTAAGACCAGAGAAAAGGCACAAAGTGTGTGGGAAGCACTTTACTAAAGGGTTCATTCATGTACAGAAAATATAGGGATTTTATAGTAATCTAAGAGTCCTTGAGTTTTACTGAAAGTTCTAGAATACTGCTAAACACAGTAGCAGTGTATCAATCAGCCAACCAGGATCTCCATATGTGACTTTTCCATTTTCGTTATTTTAGTAACAACTTCACACAACTTCTAATTAATCGCTGATTGGTTGAAATGCTCCTTGATGACCCCTGAGCTTGTCATGTGGCTTGCGAGGAAAATGCAGGGTCACCCCAACACCTCCCCTTTTTTGAAGATTCGGGGTAGGTATCCAGACTGCATTTGCCGAATTCATCCTCCCCTTTTGAAGTTTGTGACGTATGACTTTCTTTTAGGATCTGCTTGAAACATTGCTGTTGCTCTCCTTTTTCTGCTCAGCACCCTTGTCGGCTGTGCAATTTCACTTTAACGTTTTCTAAGTCGTTGGTTGCGGCATTCTTCCGGGCTTTTCTGCGTTATATCCACCAGCATGTGGAACGGTAGTCGTGTATATGTCGCTGTTCTACGATCTTTCCTAATCTGATTAATGTGTCTGGTACACTTTCCGTCCCTACTCCGGACTAAATAAAGTACCTTCCTGATACGCCGTTCTATGATGCCTGGTTTCCATTTCTGACCGCCTTGATACCACTTTACAAGTACTTTCTCACCCACCTTTAAGCTGCGGTCGTTTGTCGAATACTCGCGTACAGGCAGTAAGTGGGAAGAAAGATTCCTATATGCAAAAGCAGAACACAACCATTAGGAAGCCTCCATCCGCATGTTGGCTTTGCGGAGAGCTACATTACAAAAGGTTCTGCCCATACAAAAACTACCGGTGCACCAAATGTCAGCTTAAAGGACATAAAGAAACATGCTGTAAGAAGAAGACGCACCGTCGTTCATCAAGTGTTCATTACCGAAGACGTAAAAACTGTTTATCAACTAATAGAATAATGGTGGCACATACCAGAACAGAACATAATCAAAGTAAATATGTGACTTTAGAGATAAATGGACGCCGTGCCCGTCTGCAGCTTGATACTGCCTCAGATATTTCACTTATCAGCCGGAAAACTTGGAGTCATATTGGTAAACCCTTGGTGCTCCCTACAACTCAGTTAGCACACAGTGCATCTGGAGGAAAGTTGAATATCGTTGAAGAGATATGCTGTCCAGTTAAAAAAGGTACTGTACAGAAGAACGCGAAAGTATATCTCACAGGAAGTCCAGGACTAGATTTGCTTGGTCTTGACCTGATCGAAATGTTACAGCTGGCTAACCAGCCTATTAGTTACATATGTAGTCGGGTGAGATCGGATGTACCCACTGAGCAAAACCTGAGAAACATGGTCCTTCAGAAACATAGTCAAGTGTTCACCGAAGAGCTGGGGGAATACAGAAAGGTGAAAGTACTACTAACCGTAAAGCCAGGAGCAAGACCAGTGTTCAGACCTAAACGTCCTGTACCTTACGCAGCTCTACCAATTGTTGAGCAGGAATTAGAACGACTCCAAAGAAGCGGAATTATAGAACCAGTAAATTTTTCTGATTGGGCAGCACCAATAGTGATTGTTAAAAAACTTAACAGAAACATCCGGCTATGTGCAGATTATTCTACAGGACTAAACGACGCACTTGAAGCACACCAGTACCCATTGCCAGTACCAGAAGACTTGTTCTCGAAAGTGAATGGGGGAAAGTATTTTGCAAAGCTGGATTTATCAGAATCTTACTTACAGATTCCAGTTGCTGAAGAATGCAAGCATTATTTGACGATAAACACGCATAAAGGGTTATTCCGATATAACAGACTTCCTTTTGGTGTAAAGACAGCACCCTCAATCTTCCAACAAGTCATGAATACCATGTTACAGGACATTCCTGGTACTGCTGCCTATTTGGATAATATACTTATTATGGGTACAGATTATGCGGATTTGGATAAAAAACTGGATACGGTCCTGAAACGGATAGAGGATTATGGTTTCAGATTGCGTGCTGAAAAATGCGATTTCTACATGGAGCAGGTACATTACTTGGGATTTATAATTGACAAGAACGGAAGGAGACCTGACCCTGAAAGCATTAAAGCGATTAAGACAATGCCTCCACCAACTGATGTAACAAACCTGCGTTCTTTCTTGGGAATGATTAGCCATTATGGTGCATTTCAACCAATCAGCGATTAATTAGAAGTTATGTGAAGTTATGTTACTAAAATAACGAAAATGGAAAAGTCATATGTGGAGATCCTGATTGGCTGAAATGCTCCTTGATGACCCCTGAGCTTGTCATGTCGCTTGCGAGAAAAATGCAGGGTCATACCAACAGTATGTATATGACGCTTTCATCATCATGAAAAAGACTTTTCTCAGGAACTTTTCAAAACTGTTGGATACTCTTTCAACTCACAATTCACCTTCGAAAATGAACTCGGTGAACTGCTGTTTTTGGACTGTTTAGTCAAACAATTAAAATGGAAGTCCAAATCTAACCATCCACCTTAAGCTGACATACTTAAATCGGTGCATTGATTTCAAATCAGAACATACATGGAATGCGAAAATCCCTTTGGCGTATAGTACCTCTCCTTCAATTAAGTTCGTTTACGGTTAATTTTGTCGAGACCTTTTACTAACTTATTTGACAGACAGTGTTATTCGAACAGTAACAATTTGTCTATTTCTTTATACTATTATTATTACTATTATGTCTGTATAAACGTGTATGCTTAATTACATGTGATAGCCTACGCCCATATTTCTCTCTAACTAACATGTTAGTTGCTCAAATATCGCTCGGTGAATCGTTCGCTTTCTTATATATTTATGTGCTTGAATCTTATTGATTGCTTCAATTCGATTTGATTTGACTCTGAATCCGCCTCTGTATTCGCTTGCTCGCACTCATTAGCCTTTTTGCTCAAATTCGCTTGTTATGCTTGTAACTTTTTTACCTGTGCTATCCAATAATAAACTGTAGTCGGCGCTTAGTGTTGTCTTCTGAATTCATACACCATTGGAATTTATTTAATAATGATTGTCAGTGTGATTGATAAACGAAGCTTAAGGAATTATCTCTAAGCCAAGCCACTTCGGGCTCCAAACTTATTTAGACAAGAATCAAATAAACATACAAATATTCTCAACCTGATATTCATACTACAAATACCACATTTTTCATACCTACCTATACGCAATTAGACACAGAGGCGAGATTATAATCTATGGGCGAACCGATGAAATCAAAGATAGCTAGTCTTGGGTTTTTGCGTAAAACTCATTCATCCAAACGTCTAGATAACATTTTGGAATTATGACTGGTGTCCGTTCGTGCTGAAAACCCTAGCTTTAATTCTCAACCTTATCTTTTAACTTTAAATCCTAACTCCTCACACTAATTTATAACCCTCGTTAAACCATAGAAGGTGGATAAATCCCCACAAGGTCACTTTAGCGTCGCTCAGTCGTCCTATATAAAAGTCTCACCCACACAGGTAGGTCTCGTAATATAGAAAAAAACCTTGATGAAAATGACAATATTAACGTGATCAGATCCATTTTAATTTTGACTGCACTAAAAACATTCTGCTTGTGCACTTTATACTACTTAGACTTATATTAATTTAATTTGTTATTTATTTTTTTCTTCTCAAAAAATGGCTTACACTAAATCACAAAATGTCAGAAATCTAATTGTCTACTAACACAGACTTTACAAATTTGTTTTTTTTTCATGGATTAGTAACAATGCTCAGTATATTGGAAAATACCAAGTTAGAGACCTTGGTAATGATAATTACAAACAAGAAATATTGATTAATAGTCAGTAGCTGATTAGTGTTAATTAATTATTTTTTAATGAACTTTTAAATGTTAACACCTAGACTGTTGACAAAAAAGGAGTATAGTTGAGTTGAATAAATGAATTTAGTTAGCTTATTATTATTGTCAGAAGGGGTTTTGTGAAGATTTCAGTATTTTCATAATTGAAATCATGAGTCAATTGAAGCTAGACCACCATGGAAAACCTGGAAGCACTGGACGGTCGTTTCCTCCTATTATGGGACTCATCAGCAGTGCACATATTAACGGCTGCTCAAACTTCGTGGATTGATCGAAGTTAGACATTAACACCGTTGATGCTGGCCCAGTGGTCTATTGGTTAAGTGCAATGTCGCGAGACTGGTAGGTCCTGGGTTCGAATCTCACGAGGCTGGATCGTGGATGCGCACTGCCACTAAGGAGTCCCACGATAGGACGAAACGGCCGTCCAGTGCTTCCAGGTTTTCCATGGTGGTCTAGCTTTAATTGACTCATGATTTCAATTATTATAATTGATTCATTTTAAAATCAAATTCTATGTAATCTTTTCTTTGTTTACATAAATTGTTCTATCTTACTCTTAGATTTGATCAAACAAAATTAACTAATCAATTCAATGATCAATCTACATTAAAATTAATTATAAATATAGAACAAATTTTAAATCAAAGATTATTTGAATTAAATTTAAATTTAGTTAATAATGTTAATAAAATTGATAAGAAACGATCTATAATATGTCAATTAACTACTGATTGGTTATCTAGTTCAATTATATGGATTTGTTTAAATAGTTGTAATTCGAATCAACAAACATTGTTATTTGAAAAAATTTTTAATTATAAGTTGAATGATTTAAAACAAACATGTTTACAACAAATCAATGGAATTGAAGAAAATGAACATAGTACAATGAAAATGAATAATGAAGATATTGTATCCAGTGAGAATAAATATTATAATGAAACTGGTATTGATGATAATGATGATGATGAATGGATTACTTCATGTTTCAAAGAATCTTATCAAGATTTGCAGAATCATTTAAATGATTTGAAAACAAAATCTAAATTAGAAGATATTATTTGTCAATTAATCATTGAACTTGATGGTATATCTATGAATTTAAATATGTACGTTTACAAGGTTTACTTACTTACTCTTGTTACTCCCAATGGAGCATAGGCGGCCGACCAGCATTCTTTAACCCACTCTTTCCATTGGCCTTCCTTTCTAGTTCTATCCAGTTTTTGTTCATCCTTTTCATTTCCGTTTCCATTTCTCGGCGTAATGTGTTATTTAGTCTTCCTTTTCTCCTTTGGCCTTCAGGATTCCATGTGAGGGCTTGTTTAAGTACATTTCTGACAAGCATGCACAAATTGACATAAAGCAGTAGTTAGTATATATTCATAAACAAGAAAAAGAGAAGATTGTTTCTTCAAATCCTGTTCACCTAATTTCAGCATAAGAGTTATAATTTAATTTCAGTGAATAATGGAAGCATCTCATTTGATTCCATGTGACAACAATAGTTAAAAAAGTATCGATTACATTTAGAAATAGAGTTTACTTTAAACAATTAATAGATTGAACTGTTCACTATGTAGTTTTTTAAGTTCCTTGTTGAAATCTGAAAGGTGTTTTGAAAAAGCAGACAGTACTGACTATTCACATCGAAGAGATTTGGTCCTTGAACAGCAGTTTAATTCGTTTCAGGTTGATTTCATTAACCCTTACGAATTCAACCTTATTATATCTTACATATGTACCACAAATCAGATTACGGTGAAATTCATTAAAAGATAATGATTAGTTAATGTTAAGTATTCTTACCTTGAATTTTCCAAATATGGTAATTCATCTATTATCACAGAACTAGTTTGACGTAATTATTTTTTTCAATGTTATTGTTCAACTGGAACTAAAATTTCACAAACGCTTTATAGAACATATACAAAGCTATTAGGTCAACAATCGTAACAACAAAAATTTACTTAAATTACGGTTAAGCAGAGGTTTATCAAACTCAACTAATAGAGTATGAACATAGAATGGAAAGATATTTTAAGTTATAAATAAAAGGAAATTTACTTAACCTGAGATATGGATTGAAATAGCTTTCTGTTGTTCAACAATATATATATATATATATATATATATATATATATATATATATATGCAGAGAAGAAAAGATAATAGCTCATTCACTCATTCATTTGCATGATATATATGTGTGCATTTATCCACCAATTCCACCACTTACATACCACACAAACGATACTTGAAACATTACAATTCACTGGCCAACGCAAAGTCTATTTGTTGAAAATCTCCTTCAAAACTACCATCAACGTCAACTCCCAATACATACAAGATTGACCTAAGAAATTATATCTGTTACACACAAGACATTCATGATTTACTTCATAAGTAAATAAGATTCATTCGAACGAGCAAGGTAAATATTGGTATTGAACACTTCGTCAGGTAGTAACACAACAATCTCTACAGATCATCTATATTGATTACATTTTGTAATTTTTTTCAAATACTCGATGATTATTTAAATTGTATTCCAATCGTTTATTTTTTCAATATTCAATTTGTAATAATCAAAATTTACTATTTCAATTTCAGAAATACCTGTCTGACTAAATATTTTAAGAATCAAATAGATTTTGAAATATGGGAACAACAAAGAAATGAAATGAATGTAATTCATATTTATTAGAATCATTTCCTTTTACAACGTAAATTAAATGCTTGTTTTTTACAGTTTGCCAAAAAGGAATTCATTCAAGCTTTGAATAATTTACTGAATGAAATGTATCAAAATCATTCTTATAAACATTCAGAAAATGTAAAGACAGAATTTTCGAAGGTAACACATTTCCATGGAGTTTGTTTTTTATGATACGATATTTCTTTCTAAATTAGAGCAACAATAAGGAGGAGCATGAGGTTTCAAAATCTGTTGTCAACGACGATCTGGACCATTTACGCGAATCCAATCAGGATGGATTCTTCTGTATTGATTCAATTGATTATATCAACAGACAAATGGAGTAAGCGTTCACTATTGTACATTTTGATCTCAGTAATTTTTATCAAAATTGATCGATGTTAATCACTAGTAATCATTGCTGTAGAGGCTTTTTATTTTAATCGCTACTGATGATACTATGTTACTGTGTCTTCTCTCACTTTACTTATATCCCAAGCATCTAGTCAAAAAGAGGAAAGACAGATCAAGTGGGTCATAAGTGTTTTATTTTCTCTCTCTGACATCTATGAGGTCATATACGTGGAAAATATGACTACAATGTACATACTACAACTCATACTTTTTTAAAACTAAATTTTGTGACACATTTATAGTTACTTATTAAAGCCCCTTAAAGTTCATGAGGCATAGATCACCGATCAGGGATCTCCAGGCTACTCAATCCTGAGATCTCATTTACAGTTGATGCCGAATGCTATACATGATCTTGATGTTTGTGTCCAGTTCCCGGCACCTTGTTTCCTTTAGTCTCCATTACATCTGTAGGGCCAGTGAAATGTCACTGAACCCTAGCAAAATCATCTGGCAGTTGGGTCACTGAATATCGAACAGATCATCGATCCTTGTCAAGGTCGAAGACAGTCGACGCGCATCAGTCAATAATGCGCCATGGACTGACCCATGCGGCATTGGTTCTACTTTAACTAATATATTCTCGTAATAACATCCTTTGTGTTGTACAGTCTTCAGAGCATCCATGATCCCTTGATGCGTCGATGGGGCAATCCACGTAAGGTGCTGGTCGCGAGGTGTGACTTCAGCGTCAGTTGGTTCGTCACCATTCTCGTCTAACTCTGGCGGGCCCCCAACCATTCGATATAGATCATCAACGTTGATGGTCTACACTTCCTTCTGACTTGAGTATTCTAAGTTGAAACTTGCTTGTAGTTCAGTTTAATGGTTTCTGGGGAGTGTACCCTATCCACATCCACCGTCTTCTCTTAATTTCCTTTTCAGGCGTCAGCTGGCTTGCTCGCTGCCACAGTAGGTTATTTCTGATGGTATCTGGGGAGTGGATATGGAGTATCTCGTGTATACAACTTCTTATAAATACCTGTACATTTTTGTTAATGGTGGTGGTAGTCTTCCAAGTTTCAGTTCTATACAATAAAACTGTTTTAACGTTCCTGTCGAAAATTCTGACTTTGATCTTGAGTGACGGTCCTTTCAATCCCAGATATTTTCCAGTAGTAGGAATGTAATTTTGCTTTGCCAATTCGTACCTACACATCTACATTAAATCCTCCTTGTTTAACAATGATGCTTCTCAGGTATGTATAGGTTTCCACCTTTTTCAGAGTTTCACCGTCAAGGGTAATTCGGTTGGTGCTAGTTGTGTTCGGAAATATGCCCTGTAGTGTGTTCAAATACAGTTGTGCCCGAAGCAGAATGTAAAATTGGGGAATTGTCCAGCTCACTGAAAGAGAATGTCTTGTTAAATGCACATGAAATCGTAGCAATACTAGAGGACTAAGATATAGAAGATTCTGTAAAGGAATCTCTAAGACCAGAATTAAAAAAAGCCCTATTAGCCCTGGATACCTCTGAAAATAAACTACAGCCAAAACAAACTTATGATTCACGTGATATTTGTGGAGAAAGCTGAAGGGACGCATATTTACAAAATAATCGGAGCACCTCAATGAATATAAATGTATTAAATGAAACTCAAAATTACTGTGAGACAAAAGTTTCTCACGAATCAACTCATCATATTTCTCATGTTATTTTACCAGACATGGGTTGCCCTAATAATTTACATATTTTTAATGAGATTTCTTATAAAAATGAGAAAAGTATGTTGAATAAATCAAATAATGATCGGAAATCTGATGCACTTTTGATAAATGCTGATTTCTCTAATGATTTATTATCCTCTAATATGATTCTCAATAAATTTGAGAACAATATTGCCGAGGAATCATATTCTGATAATATCATATCAAATGATGTTTGCCTTCATAATGTTTTTATTTCTGGTGGAAAACTTGATCAACGTGTAACACAAGTTCTAAATGAATTCAAACGTAATTACAGTTCACATAATTTCGTATAAAATGCTGTTTATCCTCACCATGTAGTTAATTCTAGTGCTACAATTAGTCTAGATGTTGGGACAGATTACTCCTGAAGCAACATTTAGAGATATAAACGTTTGCTTAACATGATAAATTGATATTGAAAGTTTCAAAAAGACTGTGCTTTAGATGAGGATTATCACCAAGCTCAGCTAAGCCTTTTGATTTAAAGTAAGAACATAATTCAAACAAAAGTTGGACCATGTTTCGAATTGCTTTGATCTGTCATTTGTCTCGTACTACAATATTTTCACGTTGTTATCAATATTTACCGTAATTTTGGCAAAAAGTTTACTTTATTGATTCTCAAAATTCTTTTTCAAAATTTCTCTTGACGACTTTTTTTTATTTTAGAGCAGCATCAGAACGTCAGAAGGCTTCTTTCATAAAACTTAAGAATCTCAAAGATGCCATACAACAGAAACAAGAGTTAAAGGATAAACTCGAGAAAGAAATAGAAGATATTGATCAAAAGTTGGTTGAACTTCGTAAAACATTAGGTGATGCATTTGAAAGTATGCAATTAGAAGTTCAACATGGAAAATTATAAAAAGAACTACAATACAGAATATTTCTTAGTTATATATAATTAGTAGATTAATTTATTGTTTTCATGTTTTGTAATTGTTACGTTCGATAAATGCACTCATTGAAAAAAGTCAGAGTGACACATTTATTCTAGTGCAAAGTTGAACATTTTATGTTTGACTAATTAGTAATTGACACATTTTTGGCTGAAATGTAAATCAATTCATTCTCATTCATCTGTGAGAATATAATTTTGATTTTTTTTAAAGCTCATATAATACATGTAATTTGCAGCCTTATAATACTTATAAAAAATGTTGAAGACTGTTTAGTACAGCTTGTATGATGAGAACGGTAACTGTTAATTATCAGGTTGGTTGAGGCTGTGAAACGAAAAGTAAAAGTATGAATAAATGAAGTAGAAATATTTGAGCTTTTGTAGTAGACGCTACTCACAATGATGTTGTTAAGTGGCAAGCAGAGGGACGTGGTGTCGAAGTTGCAACAAATGTCGAACAGAGTGATGAATTTCAGTACATCGAAAGCACGGCATCGTGGATGCGCACTGCTGAGGAGTCCCATAACAGGACGAAACGGCCGTCCAGTGCTTCCAGGTTTTCCATGGTAGTCTAGCTTCAATTGACTCATGATTTCAACTATGAAAAAAACTGGGTTCGACAGTACATATGTCGATCAAGTATTTCAAAATGTAAGATAGGATATTTTTTTCAACCTAAGTTGTAACTGACAAGTAAATAAGTACTTTAAGTATTTACATAAAACATTTACAATAGGAATAGTCAACATATACATCACAAAGTGTACGAATAGTATAATAAAATAGGTCAAATCAATTTTGAAATTATCATCAATAAAATGAAAACTAATTTGTATTCACAGGTTACAATACAGTTAGTTGACTGAATTTTACAGTTTTACATCAATTAAAGGAATTCTGAAGGTTAAGCGACGAATATGATCAGCAATTAAACGAATGATTTTGCTTTGTGAAAATGAATACACCAAACTAATTACTGGGGAGAATATATGAAATTAAGTAACAAACACCCATCAAATTCAGTCAGTCAGTCAGCTACAACGTATGACCAGGCACATATGCATCGATCCAAATTGCCACAACCTCATTAGCACAACATGATGAACACGGAATTCATTGAAGTAGATAATTTAGTGGTGGTAATATATAAAAGAAAGATTGTATATAAGGATATAGTACAGGAAGAAAGACAGGTATGAAGCAATTCCAATCCCATAGTTTAAAGGAAGATAGGGAGTGTATACACCTACGCCATTACGAGCCATGTCACACGGTCTTCAACTATAGGTTACGATAGTCACGCGCAACCCAACCAGGTAGTCTGCATCTATCAACATGGCTCATACTAGAAGTTAGTGGCTTCAAGCACTGATGCCATGTTTTGATTTGGCCGCTACTAACTCTCTTTCAACCATCCCCTACACTAGTCAGCATTGCACGTCGTGGTAATCGGTGTTCATGCATACATAACACGTGGCCCAACCATCTCAGTCGATGAAGATTCACAACCTCATCAACTGATTTACCATCATTCCCTAATACCCTGTGTCTAACCACACTGTTACTTACCCGGTGATCCCAGCAGATGCTGGAAATATTTCTAAGACATCTATGATCAAATACTAGTAACTTACGAGTGTTTTCTACTCTTAAAGGCCACGTACCGCAGCCGTAAAGTAGAACAGAGCGAACTATTGCGCAGTATACTCGTCCCTTAATTGATAGATAGATACCTGGCCTTCGCCATAGGTGACGTAAATTGGCAAAAGCCAAACCTGTTTGAATCCGTGCTGAGATTTCGTCAGACACCAACTCATAAGGGCTGATCGGACTTCCAAGAAAAGTGAAGTTGTCGACGCGTTCGACTACTTCACTCCCTATCCTTAGTTCAGGTGTTGTTGCAGGCCAGTCCTGGAGTAACAATTTACGTTTAGAGGGGGAGAAATGCATTTCATATATCTCGGCATTGTTACTCAGTGCTATCAAAAGACTCTGCATTTTATCAGTGTCTTCAACAAACAGGACTATATCATCTGCGTATTCTAAGTCGATAAGTGGAGCTTCCTGAAAATTCACTCGATGAGAACGTTATTTCCAGTAGTAGGTCTATGATGAAGTTAAACGAACAACCTTGTCGGACACCACTTGATGTTGCAAAGTCAGATGACAGTTCGCCATTAGCCCTCACTCGACTGGTAGTGTCTGAGTGAAGAGCTTTCACAAGCTTTGTGTACTTCTGGGGTTTACCTTTCAATGACGGACACTGCTACAGAACCTCTCGATCTACAGAGTCAAATGCTGCTTTTAAGTCAAGAATAACTATCATTGTCGTATACCAATAAGCATGCCTGTGTTCTCAAACGTGACGAACAGTGAATATTCGGTCGATACAGCCACGACTAGGTCTAAAGCCAGTCTGATTTTCTCGTGTTTGGGGTTCACGAGTCTTTATTAGGCGTCTGATAATGATTGAGGCTAGTATTTTAGATACTATATTAGTCAAACTAATCCCTGTATCGTTATCACAGGATGATTTTGACCCCTTCCTAAATATTGGGACAATCAGAGATTGTGACCAGTTGGATGGGATTACGTGCAACTCCCATATTTTAGCTAAAATATTAGTCAACCTAATCGTTAAAATTAGACCACCATCCTTAAAGACCTCTGGAGTTAATCTATCTCGACCAGCTGCTCTTCCTCGTTTCAGATTAGCTGTAGCCTTTCGAACTTCTGCTAGAGTTGGGGGACCTACTTCAACGTTCCATTCAGGCTGTTTGGGAATGATAGGAAATTGTAGATTAGCTAAAGGCCAGCTAAACTGCTCCCTAAAGTGTTCCGACCATCGTTTAAACATCCGGGCTGAGAACAGATAAGAGTCTCGTCTTTTTCTGAGATTGTCTCACTTACACTTGACTTATTAATTCCGGTTTTTTTATTAGTCTGAAAAGTTGTCTAGTGTTGGCTACAGCCGCTGCCTTTTCCATCTCTTTTGTTCACGATCGTTCAGTAGACTTTAGGTTAACCTAGATCTGATTTGCTTTCGATCGTCATCGTGCTCAAATACTGATCGGATGAGTTTACGAGAATCCATCAGTGAAATAGACTTGGAAGAAATCCATTGGTCTTTTGTAACCTTTTGGTTTAAATTACTAATAGTTGTTATTGAAGTTTCTACAGCTGTTTGTATATCTTTCCAAGCAACATCTAGCTCAGCCTCGTTTTCAGAACTGGCTAAATGTAACTCAGTTGTTCCTAGAACTTACTCTTGACCAACGTGTAGTTTGGAGCGAGGTTTCAGTAGACATGGAACAGTGTTTTGCGCACTAGAATTGTTGGTTATAGTGATATTTAAGGAGGAAGCCGAAAGAGGAAGCTTAGAGTTGAAAGTCGAGGTAGGAGGAATAATAGGAATCGAAGAGTAAAATTCATTAGGAATAAAGTGATCTTGACTGCTGTTCGAGGTATGAGGGCAGTTTTCACTTCCCGGTCGCCCACACCATGGATGGATTCTTCTAGAGGTACCTGAAAAGGAAAGCTACAAAGTTGTAAAGTAGATATTCTAATGACAATGAAGGAATTCAGAGATACCCTGTTTCACAGCTTTATTAACTCGAACCATTTGTTTAACATTCCAGATCTGAAGAAGTCTACAGTTTTCCCCTTGATATAGAGATGTATATTTTATCTGACCAATGTTTGGCATTTTGCTTTATATGTATTCTATTGAGTTATTAGCATAGTGAATTTTTGGTATGTTCTATTAATTCAAAGGGTGCAATACATTTAATTCCTTCTCCCTAACCCTGATGATTGCTGAGACCTTCAATTTATTTTTAAATATAAAACATCAGGATATGTGTTCCAAGAAAATTATTTAGAATTATCTTAGAAAACGGGCGCTTGACAGCTTATAATTTTACCATCAGCTGACTGTTTTCACAAATACATTACATATTTGTATAATTGGAATGGTTGGTTAAAAAGCGTTTAAACATTAATCCTTTCTATATTAAGGCAAATTTCTACTATTGAGAATCAACCCAGGATCCTCAAGAATATGGAGTACGACAAAGAACAGACTGTAACTACTAAATTATCTTAGTAGGATATTATAAAATTATTAGTTTAGTAGTGTAGTGATTGGTATGAAAACTGAAGATCTTGGGTCCTATCCCAGGTAGGACTGTGAGTGTACATTGGTGTGAAATCACTGTCTGAAAGTAAAGATCTTTCGAACATCTGTGATTTCTATTGATTTAGGCAAAATACATCTGCTGCTTAGACTGTCAATATCAATTTACCTGTTCACACGGATCCAGGGATACAGTTCTTTCGATGTGTTCTTTGTCCGAAAGAATTCAATCCGGCTAGTCTAAAAAGGAGCCTAAATGGCTCAACCATCAAACACTATGTGAACACAGGACACTCAATCAAAGAGGACTCTGTATTCATGGTCATCTACAAGGTAAGTAGAAGGCTGCCAAAGGCAGTTATATTCCATCTTCTTCAGTTTCGTTTCGGCAACTAGTAGGTGGTGATCTAAAGCTTAATCAACTCCTCTTTTTATTCTCATGTTCTTCGTGAATATTCTGGACCTTTTATCAATGCAGGTGCGATCGATCTAATTTTCTGCAGTGTGGTCGAGTGAAACTGATGTAACTTTGTATATGCATTTGTGGGTGAGAATGGTACTACCCATAATCGTTTTGTTGAAGGCATATAAATTCGTAAATCTCTCTCTCCATTTTTGTTCCTTTCTCCGAGTCCATGTCGTCCCATGATATCTTCATATCTGGTTCTGTCCATTCCGACCTAGGCGTTTAGGTCTCCCATCAGGATGGTCAGGTCCTTTCCTGGGCACTGAGCTATGTTCGATTGCAGCCTCTCATAAAAGTGATTTTTGTCATCTTCATTACCATCATTGGTGGGTGCATAACACTGAATAATATTCATCGTAATTCCCTCCTTTGTCTTGAGGGATGATTTGATGATTCTGGGTCTATGAGATTCGCAGCCCTAAATGCTTTACGTGTTGCTTTGGATAGCATCAGTGCAACTGCTTGTGTTTGCGAAACATTTTCTTCTTCATGATCACAGTACAGAAGCATCTCTCCCGAATCTTTTCTTTTCTGTCCAGCTTGGCTTTAATGGGTTTCACTAGTTCCGGACACCGTCAAGTTATATCTCCTCATTTCCGGTCTTTCTCATTATCCGGACATTCCATTTACACACAATAATTGTTGCTCTGGTTGTAAGAAGAGGCATCGGC